CTTGCTTTGTTACTTGATCATCTCATGCAGGTAAGGTGATGCCTGATTCCCCTCCTTGAGGGATCTACCCTGCCTGTTGGTTATTTCTTGCTTTCTAGTCATGGCACAAGCTGCCGTTTGTGTTTGATCGGTGTTGGCCTGCTGTTACGTGCAGATGGTGACAGGAATCTAGTCAGCCCACCTTTAATAATCAACATGCTTTCTGTGTGCTTGAATTCTTGAGCCACCAGGCTCTGCTGCTAGGAGTGGTTTGACAAGGCACATGAACTTGTAAGCCTCCTCACTTTGGGGAAGTGCCGTTTGCCACTGACAATGTATGTGAACTCTTGAAAAGCATTACCTAACCACCAAGTATGATCAAAAGTTGTTCCACTCACCAAAGTCCTGTTGCCTGTGCTGCCTTCAGATTACAATATAAAAAGTTATTGGTGTTTGTGAAACATGAGTGAGTCCCTGAAGCCAGGAGGAGCCACAGGTGCCCTTCTCTTGGCCAGGAGCTGATGGGGGGAGGATGACAGCGGCAGTGTGGTATAGTGGTTAGGAGCCCAGACTCTAATCTGGGAGAACTGGGTGAGCCCCCACTCCTCCACATGCAGCTGTTGGTGTGACCTTGGGTCAGTCATGGCTCTCTCAGAGCTGTTCTGTCAAGAGCACTTCTCAAAAGAGCTCAGCCCCACCTACCTCACAGGGTATCTGTCGTGGGGAGGGGAAGGGAAAGGGATTATAAGGCACTCTGAGGCTCCTTCAGGTAGGTAAGGACAGGATATAAATCCAATGTCGTCCTCCTCCTTCTTCAGTGTGAAGAGCACAGAAAGATGTCTCCTGGGTCAGGGGAGGAAGGCGGGCCTTTGGACAAGCCAGTAGGCAGGATGTGACTGGGAACCCACATGGGGGCGGGGATGGCTGGCTGTGGCCATCACGGTGGGAAGCAAGGGACTGCCTTTGGGATTATGTAGGGCCTGGGGACAGAAGAAGGGATAGGGCCAGGATGCTGGGGGGAAATTTAAAGGCCATAGTGAGGCAGAGCCTGGAGTGGACATAGAAGGAACGGAACAAAGCAAGTCCACCTGGTGGGAGGGAGTAAGCAAGATGCAAATAAAAAACTGTTGACTGTTCTCTGAGTGCTGGAAGAGTTCTCGGAAGGTGGAGTGTGGTGTGAAGTCCTGACCACCCCCCAGGGTGCTGCATGCCCCTACCCTGCCCGTGACTCAGGCTTCTGTGCCAATGGCCACAGTTCCCAGAATGCCAACAGCAAATGGCAAGGATGATGCCATAAAAAGACCTATGAAGGCCTTTTAAATGAACCTTCCCTAATATTTATGTATGTTATTTATAGTCTGCCTTTTTCACAGAGATTCAAGGCAGATTATACATAGCCAGTCAATACAGTCAACACAATGGGATGTCCAATAACCAATGCATTAGAATATTAGAAGTCTGGGACCACCAGAAAGAACTGAAGCATAGATACACAAAAACTGAATAACATGATTCTACTTACAATAAGCTTTACACTGCAGTAAAGACCACAGTCCCGAATCATTTATTCAAGTAAGTGTATGAACAATTTTGTGCAGTACGTCCCTGTTACCTGTACAGAAAATCCCTCTCAAATAGTTCAGTTTTGCATAGTTTGTGGAAAGCCAGGAGTGTGGGAGCTTTCCTGGCCTCCTCAAGCAGGCCCACTCCATAAAGGTGGGACCCACAACAGAGGAAGCACGTGTCTCTAGACAGGTGTTCATTCTGACCATTTGCAGTCTTGCACCCATCAAAGCACCTGCTGACATGAGCAAAGTCTAAGAGAAGAAGAAGAAGAAGAGATTGGATTTATACCCCCCCACCCAAAGGTGTCTCAGAGTGGCTTACAAACTCCTTTCCCTTCCCCTCCCCATAACAGGCACCCCGTGAGGTAGGTGGGGCTGAGAGAACTCTGACAGAAACTGCTCTTTTTCTTAACCACTACACCAGACAAGCAGAGAGTTTATTCCAGCATAAGCTTCTGGGAACTCTGACTTGATGACACTTATTTTGTTAGTCTCTAAGGTGCTACTGGACTCCTGTTTAATTTAGAGTCTAACAAGTTACAGAACTTGTTAAACGTTGTAAGCATTCCTTACCACTTTTTTACAAAGTTAATTTTTCAGTAATAGTTTACTAATTCATTTTTGTAGCTAGTATCATACTTGTTGATGAGAAGTAACCTGTCCTAATACAGTTAATGCTTCAAAAATATTTGACTAATATTTAACTGGTGAACTGGTCACATCATTTTTGACCAGTCATACCATCAGCACTCCTGTGTACACACTCGCATTCAACTCTTTGCATTGCATTGAGGTAACCCAAAGTCTGTATTTATTTATTCACTTACTCTATTTATACTCCACCTTTCTCCCCAAGGGGGACCCAAAGTGCCTTACATCATTCTCCTCCTCCATTTAATTCAGTAATTGTATGTATTACACAGATAAAACCAATCTGCTACATTTTCATTAAGCTGCATAATCTATCCAGCACTCTTTACTATTTTGTATTCCCCTTCAGCTAATGTAGGGAAGAGGCAAGGCACTTTGTAGTGCATTGACAAGCTAACTCAATTACTCCTCTGTCTTTGGGGATTTTACCAAATGTGAGCCACAAGCATGTATCTGCAATTCTAAGGACTTTAAAATAAAAACTGAGGCTCTTGGGAAGCTGAACACTATGGGGTCCCCCCCCCTTTTTTTTGTTGCTATTCCATGGAATAGGAGAACTACCAAATCAAGGAAAAACTGTAAACAATAGTGACAGATTCCTCTTGTAAATTTAATTTTATGAGCCATTATGTCTGACGATACCGCAGTTGGCTACAAAGGTCAATGCCAACTCTATTGTTCCATCTTGTTCCTCACAGGGCCAAACTATGGGTTGAATGGAAGGGAGCCCACACAGAAGGCATTTGCTGAGGCAGATTTTTCCTGCCTCTCCCTTCCTCTAGCAATCCTTGAAACTTGTTTAAAGCTGATGCTGTTTGCTCCACCTTGCTTTTGCACCAACAGAAGCAGCTTTAGCAGAACATGGGGTTGATTTTTGCCTGGTTCTCCATCCTCATCACCTAAACTAATACAGAGACCTGTACGTGTGTCCCAATGGGACAGTGACTCCTTAGGGATGTCTGAGTTTGGGAAGATCATGTGGGATGGATGCTTAATCCCCCTTCCCCACACGCCACATAATTGCTCCGAATTTGGGTCCTCACACACCTCAGTTAAAAAAGAATGCTGGGGACTCTGTGTAGGCATGTGATCTCTACTGACACAAACTCACAGTTTTGAGAACTGTAAAACCAAGCATCTGTGATAACATCTTCTAGATAGAAAAACTGTCCAATAATCTTACAGGAATCTCTGGAAGAGTATGACATTGTGAATGGGTTAAAGGAATTCCTTTACCAAGGCATTTAAACATTGCATGTATAGCCTCATGCTACATAATTAAAAACTAAGCCTTATTTCATGATGAACAACCTTTGGACTGTTGTTGTTCAGTTGCACAGTCGAGTCCAAGTCTTCGTGACCCCATGGATCACATCATACCAGGCCCTCTTGTCTTCCGCCATCCTCTGGAGTTTGCTTATTTTCATGTTCGTTGCATCGATAACACTGTCTAACCATCTCATCCTTTGCTGTCCCCTTCTTCTGCCTTCAATCTGTCCCAGTATCAGGGTCTTCTCCAGTGGGTGCTCCCTTCTCATTTGGTGGCCAAAGTATTTGAGCTTCAGCTTCAGTATCTGGCCTTCCAGGGAACATTCAGGGTTGATTTCTTTTAGGATTTAATGGTTTCATCTCCTCGCAGTCCAAGGGACTATAATGTATGTTAAATAGAAAACTGTCTTTGGCCCCGGTCACACGGCAAACTTGCCATGGGAGAGGCACGGATGGTGGGCGGATTATCCGGGCGCGATCACACCCCAACGTCTGGGAAGTGGAGCGCACCCATGGCTTACTGCCAACAATGCGCGTTAAAAAACTAGTACCTCCAAGGTACTAGTAAACGTTTCGCATGGGCTGCCTCCAGACGCCCGTTGTGTGATCGCGCTGGTGCGCAGCATTCCCCTCCGGTCCCTCGTTTACCCGCCAGCACGAGGGAAGGACCGGTGGTGTGCCACCGGTGATCGTGTAATCGCAGATCAAACTGCGCCGGGGCAATTAGCCACGCCTCCCCCCCTGTGATGCGTAGACAGCTTTTTTGAAGACTGAGTCAGAAGGCTGGGACACCAGTGAGAAAGACAAATGCAGATTCGACCTCAGTTTCAAATCCCCCCTTTGCCAGGAAGCTTGCTTTTTTGTCCCAGGGCCAGTCACTCTTGGCCAAATCAGAATTTATGGTCATAACCTTCGGGGCGGCGAGGGGAAGGTGTATGCTGCATTCAGGGGTTTTTTTAGACATGCTGGGGGGAACAATCTAATGGACAGAATTTTGGGGGTGGGATACTAAACAAATCACCCGGCTGAACAGATTTCATGTTTCTCATACAATTAGCCTTGGAATGCTTAATCTGACAGTAAGAAGCTAGTTTTAAAAATAACAGAAGGACAAAAACGTACTAGTAAATAAATAAGCTTCTATCCTCGGAAGTAAGCGCTACTGCCTGCCCTGGAAGTTGCCTACTTTCGCAGCCTATTCTGAACACCGAGCTGGGCCTCATATTCCGACCTTCGCTCCCGTTTGTAGAACATTACACATCGTTGAGCTGCCAGCATAGCAACCCACGGCTTCCTGTCCCGAGGGAACCAATAGCCAGTCCCTTCCTGCCTTCAAGCAGCCAATCCATCCCTCCCGTGTGAAAAGAAAGGACCAATCTCCTTGTGCAGGAACCCGCGAACCCCTAAGTCTTCCCATGGAGACTGCCGCCTCTCCCTCCCGGCCCCACCCCATCGCTTTACGACAATGATGAGGGGGGGGGGAGCCGGCGAGGAACTAGGATCTTTTTTTGGGGGGGGGGGAGAGGCAGGAAAGTGAGCGGGAGGAAGAGGCTGGCGCGCGCATGCGCACGCGGGCAACAAGTTATCAAAGCATGCGCGGAAGGATGAAGTAATAAGGCGGCATCAGTGGCGGCCGTAGAAGTAGCGGCGGCAATTGAGCAGGTGCTCGCGCGGACGCGCAAGTGAGGCAGCGGGCGGGGAAGCGCTGGATGCCCGGGGGTGGGGCTAACATCCGCTCCGAGGCTGGCAGTGCAGCGGAGAGCGCGAGTTCGATTCCCGGCGCTGCCGGCTGTAGCAGTAGCCCCACTAGAAGCGAGGCGGTGCCGCCGCCGCCGAAGATGAGCCTTTCCCCGAAGGAGCTGTCGAGCCTGCTGAGCATCGTGTCGGAGGAGGCCGGAGGCAGCACCTTCGAGGGCCTCTCCACCGCCTTCCACCACTACTTCGGCAAGGCCGAGCACTTCCGCGTGGGCTCCGTCTTGGTGCTGCTCCTCCAGCAGCCCGACCTCTTGCCCAGCCCCCCGCAGCGCCTCACCGCCCTCTACCTGCTGTGGGAGATGTACCGCACCGAGCCCCTGGCCGCCAACCCTTTCGCCGCCATCTTCGCCCACCTCCTCAACCCGGCGCCCCCCGAGCGCGCCTCCTCGAACTCCGGCCCTGGCCCGGCCGGCGGAGGGGGAGGAGGAGACGACAGCGAGAGGCCCCCGCTCTCAGGTACTTCGCCTCCTCAGGGGGGAGCCCTGGCCTCGGAAGGGCAGAGGAGGCTTCTTAAGCACTCTCTCCGTTAAGGCACCTTTCGGGGATGGACTTGTGTGTGGTTCTGTCACGCAGTGTTCCCTCTATGCTGAGTTAGTGTGAGCCAGCTCACAGTATTTTAGCCTCCGGCTCACACATTTTTGTCTCAGCTCAGGAGAGGTGGCTCCAGAGCAAACTGATTTATGCAGTAGCCAAATCACTGGCTCACAACTTTAATGCCAGCAGCTCACAAAGTTTTGCTCACAAGACCCCCACAGCTTAGAGGGAACATTGGACCTTCTGTGTGAGTCCCCCCCACACACCTTTCAAAACTCTGAATGCCTCTTTATAACGCAACCGTTTAAAACAATACTAACTTCATCCTTTGTTATAACTTTGGTACCCCATCTTTCTTACACACGTGGCATGTTTTAGGGATGGATCTTGTAGCATTCCCTGAGTAATCTGGAACAGTTTCTCTTAATTTCCCAACTCTGGCAATCAGTCATGTGCAATGTTCCCTCTAAGCTGTGGAGTCTTGTGAGCAAAAATTCTTCTTTGTGAGCTACTGGCATTAAAGTAGTGAGCGAGTGATTTGGCTACTGCATAAATTAGCTTGCTCTGGAGCCATCCTTCCTGAGCTAAAACAAAAATCTGTGAGCTGGAGGCTAAAAATCTGTGAGCTAGCTCACACTAACTCAGCTTAGAGGGAACACTGGTCATGTGTGGTTTAACACCCTTTGTTCTCCTTTCTCACAACAGCATGGGCCCTGATGGTTAATGGTGGTATAATATTCAGTATTAAGCTGTTCTGAGGAAACAGGTGTTGAAGTACGTCTTACCCTTTGGTGCCTGGTGGTTCTTACCCAGCTGTAGAAGAACCATGTCTGTTTCGTGAGTGTATAGGGAAACTAGGAGTGTTTTCACAGCATGTACCACGCTAAGCCCCTTATACCATGCTGAGGTTGAAAACTAAGCCGCTTTGCTTGTGGCTAACCTACACCTGATATGTCTGTTTTGTAGAGAAAAGAATATATGGTACAAGGTGTGGGCTTTGACTTGTGTTTTGGAAACAAAGACCTGATCCTTAAAACTGTATCTCCCATGTCATACATGAGCTAGTATTTATACTTCACTGTCTAGGCATGTTACTTGATAAAGTCAAGTAAAACATGTTCTGTAAGGTACCAGGGTGTGTTTCTTAAATTAGTGACTATCTAGTACTTTGTGAGTGCTTCTAAGGTTAAGTACCCTTTGGAGAGACAAATTAGTGAATGCAGGGTATGGGGACTTGGGGAGGTGTGTGTGATGATTGCATGATAGCTGTACAGAGCAAAACATAGAAGAATCTGCAGCTTTTATATGTAGGCCCAATTCATATCATAAGGTCTCCAAAGCCATCAGTAAGTTCACAACAGCCCAAATTTTAAGTTATGACTGTACCAATTCCATTCATGTGATTACTTTAAAGCATACTGTCGTATGAATTCTTTGGGTGTTTCAGGTCAGCTCAGTTTGTAGTTATAACATGGGGAAAATATCTTCACAGAATTGTGAGGATTAATGTAAGAAGGATCATAAATGTTTTTAATGTTAACAATACCAGAAATTGGCTTTTTAATGTCCCTTTTAAACATTTGGGGTAATGGCGGGAAGAGTTCAATATATTTTTTTAAACTTCTAATTTCTTTGCTTCTGACTATTCAGTCAAATACTTACTGGTACTCTGCTTAATATAAAGCAAGAACTTCTTATCTGATGACGGGAGCTTTGACTCTCAAAAGTTTATACACTATCCTCTGAAACTTCTTTCTTTGTGTTGCTGATTACTGCAGTGTCTGTGCTAACTTGTTATATCAACTTCATACTTACTTTTTTTTGTATTTATATTTTTTACAATGTGAAATGTTGAACCCATCTAAGAGTATAAAATTGTCTTATCCAGGTTTCCTGCCACCTATAACACCACCAGAAAAGTTCTTCCTTTCTCAGCTGATGTTGGCCCCACCTAGAGAGCTCTTTAAAAAGACTCCTCGACAGATTGCCTCAATGGATGTAGGGAATATGGGCCATTCAGTGGATATAAGTGGTCTTCAGCTAGCTTTAGCAGGTAAGAAATCCTGAGATTTGAATGCTCTGGAATGAACTATAGCATTTGCTAGCATTGTCTGTTTTGTGAAATGAATGGCTTCTTTCTCCTTTTACCTACTAGCTAACATGTACAGTTCAGTATGTGTTTACAGAATGAGCTTGAATCTGAACATATTGTGCTTCTGCAATGTCTGATGAACTGTATGCCATTTTTATCACTTATAGGAGATAATTTGGGATCTTAAATAATAATTCTTCAGTTCATAGCTGCTTTTTCTCGGTTTGCTTCCCTTGCTGATTGCAGATAAGAGCAGCTGCTGCTGGAGGAGGAAAATGAAGGAAAATAGACAATTTCCTTGTTCTGCATGGGGAAAAAAGGCAAAGTAAATAGCAGCAATAGTTTTTTCTTTGCTAGGAGCATGCTAGTATACATAACATATAGTGGTTTGGGTATGCTAAAATTTCATTGCAATACTATAAAGAGTGATTTGAGTCTTTGGGCATGTTGATCTCCTAGAGTAATTCTGTTACTGTGTGAACCATTTTCAGTGTCTGTTATTTTTTATTAAATTTAAACAGTGTAGAGGAAGTACATGCTATATTGTCTTTATATTTTTGCAAATATTATTCCAGCAAAAATTTGTCTGTGTTTGAATATAACATTTTAAATTGCACTTGATATGTATTTTTCCTAATCTATATTTCAGTTCAGGTATTTGTTGCTGTTGGGATGTAAAATTAAACATGGGGTACTTTAAAAATGTTTACTAAATACATCTATATGAATATGCTAAATCAGATTGTGCTTTTAGTGCATTATGACATTTTCCAGAACGTTTTCTGGTTTATATTTTTCCAGAAAACCTACATCACTGCAGTCTGCATTTTTAAGGACTGCAAGTACAGTTGGCCCTTTCATTTAACTTGTATGAAATGCAGGAAGAATTATTAAAGCCTGGGTATAAAGAGTGCTTTTAATTCTTTGACCCTTTGTTTCTAGCACTGAACTTTTGTGGAGATATTTTTCCATTTAAAGCAGAGATATGGCTCTGAATATCTGGGGAACAAACCACAAAAGTGCTTCTCCTCCTAAAGCAACTGTAAATCCAGTTTACCACATAAGGCTTACCAGTTTAATATACAAGTACTATTCATGAACAGTGAACACAATGAAATCTGGAAGCTTTTTCGCATGAACCAAACCAGTATCCCAGTCACACTTTAAGTTCAAATACAATATGACTACAGTCTCCCTTCCAGAGAGAGTCAATATCTCATGCTGATGTAATGGATTGTAGTATATCTTGCCTTACCTGGGGGTGGGGACTGGGGAGCTCTGTGTGAATGTTTTGGTACTGGGGTTCCATAGTGACGAATATAAAACCACCAAAGATCTCTTTTAAAAATACACATCTATTGAATTGTGTTTTTGCTGCCATTTATGTGTAAGTGTAAAACACACTTTTTTATTTGTACACTGATAGGTTGGAATATTCTAGAGAGAGGCTAGGCAGAGGCTGCGATGAAGAGATTGAAAAAACATAAATGTTAAACAGTTAAATGTTTTAAAACCTACTATTAATTTTGAGCATTTGTTCTACAGCATGGATCACCAATGTGTGGTGCACGTGGGCATCATAGTGCCCACCAATACCTTTCCTTGTGCCTGCCAAATGCTTTTACAAAGTGGGTGGGGCTAGGTGGGGCTTTTGTGCAGCAGGGCTTCTGATTGGTTGTGTCGATTAAAAGGCATCCTATTAAACAGAGCTTCTGCCTGAAATGTTGAAGAGTTACTATTGGAATTATATATAACCTCAATCACTGAAATTTTGTGGTTGGCTCCACCGCCCTGTGTCATAATTCCAGACAAGACTGCGGGCTCAAAAAGGTTGGGGATCCTTGTTCGACAGTATATGTTATTGTGGGTGATAGTGGTGGTAGAAATCTCTGTGCTAGTGCTCTCCTCTAATGAAATTTTAAATACACAATTTCCCTTTCTTTAGCCTGCACCCTAAGAGAGCACTTAACAGAGGCTTGCCTGCTCTGAAGTCTTCCTTTGGGTCTTCCTTCCTTCCTGGTACATCTATAAACCTAGTAATTTCCCCCTGGCCAGGACTGCTCACTGAAGATGTTGGAATAAGTATGCCAAGGCCTTTACCTAGAAAACTCTGTCCCTTTCTCAGGGGATCCTCTCAGCTTCTCTTCCTGTCATTTTCCCTTGCTGGATGAGGGGCTTGTTCCTTCAGCCAGGTGTTCCTCTGATGTCCTCTTTTTCAGCTTTTTTTTTTTTTGCCTCTACCAACTGCTGCTGAACCTTGACATCACCCAGCTCATGCTGACCAGGCCTTGGTTGGCCATTTATTCTCTCCTGCCAGACCTTTCAGTTAAACTTCACTATGTCTGAGGCCCTCATTTTGTTGGTTCTAAGTTAGTGGGCCAATGAGCGTAGTTGAATTATCCACTGAATGACTAATCAGGTTGACTAAGGAATGATACATTTTGAATCCTTCTATTGCATATAAGAGAGAGGCTCACTGAGAACTCAGAGAAAGAACCACCTCCGTTACCAGGCATCAGCTCCTCTGCTTGGTAGGTGCCCAGAGGCTACTTCATATCTTTGCTTCCCTTATGGAAGTAAGATCACCCCGCGATTAACTCATAATTTTACAGTTTCGTAATATTAAATAGGAGCTGCGGTGGCTCAAGTGGTTAAGACGCTGAACTGCAGGCTGTGGAAGGTCAGTAGTTCAGCAGTTTGAGACCCGAGTGTGCCGCGTGACGGAGTGAGCTCCCATCTCCAGTTCCAGCTCCTGCCAACCTAGCAGTTCGAAAGCAAGAAATTGCAAGTAGATAAATAGGTACCACTTCGGTGGGAAGGTAACAGCGTTCCGTGCGCCTTGGTGTATAGTCAGGCCGGCCACATGACCACGGAAATGTCTTCGGACAGCGCTGGCTCTTCGGCTTGGAAACAGAGATGAGCACTGCAACCCTAGAGTCGGATTGGACTGGCTTTCAAGCAAGGGAAACCTAATATTAAATAACACATTTTTTATAAAGGATTATTTATAGTAGTTCTGTGTATTTAATAATTCCTTGCAAGATTTTTAGCTGTTCCTCTCCATTCCAAAATATGTCCTTTGAGCATTCAGAAGAATGTGAATATTTCTGCAACAGAAGCCATAGTTCTGACAAGAGCTGTCCTTGAAAGGGCAGTTCTGGAAAGAGCTCTCTCAGCCCCACCTACCTCACAGGGTTTCTGTTGTGGGGAGGGGAAGGGAAAGGAGTTTGTAAGTCGCTCTGAGACTCCGAGTGGTGGGCAGGGTATAAATCCAATCTCCTCTCCTTCTCCTCCTCCTCCCCCCTTCTTAAGATAGGTCTGTGTATGTTGTACAAGAAGTTAGTTTGTGCACATCCATTGTACCAGAAAAACTGATTGAGCCAGTAGGCCTTTTTTCAGAGTATGCTTAATAGTTGTGTTTACAGTTTCTATTCTACTCATTAAGTTGTCAGTTTATCTGAGCTTTCACATTTTTTTTCCTCTTGGGATATAAATTTTGAGAAATACTGCATAGCAATCCTAAGCATGGTCACATAAAGTAAGTTCCTGTGACTTTTATAGGACTTACATATATATTTTTGCCATCAAGTCCCAGCTGATTTATGGCAACCCCCATAGGGTTTTCAAGGCAAGAGACATTCAGAGGTGGTTTGCCATTGCCTGCCCCTGCACTGAGACCCTGCTTAGCTTCTGAGATCTAATGAGATCACGGTAGCCTGTGCTTTTCAAGTCAGGCTGTAGGACTTAGTCCTGAGAAAAACATATATTGTGATTAGCATGTTAGTAATGTTTTGTACAGTATTAGAGATGGATTGTTTTAGAGCTTGTCTGCCAACTTTTGTGTCATCTGTTGCTTATGGAAAAAGGAAAAGTATTCTGGCAAAGATCTTGTAAGTACAAACTGTTTATCTGATAAGGATTGCTTTGATTAAGCAGAACTGACCTGTAGTTGAATCCCTGTTTTTTAGAACACTCCCTCTGTAATTAAAGGAGACTTCCTGGAATTGACAAATGAGAGGAAAATTTTGCTCCACAAAGCATCTCCAGTGGTTTTCTTTTGAATAGCGTGGAGCTTTTTTCCTCTTACAGTATTTCTGTGCTTTTTAGAAGTGTTTTTTCTTCTACATCAAGACCACAAATTACGAAGGCGTATGTTCGCTCAGATGAGAGCTCCAGACAGATGGAGTTAGGATTTATGTCTTTACTACAATTAATACCAGTGCTGAAGGCACAAACATTTTTAAAGTTATCATTGTTGTCATGATGGAGCTTTTCTAAGTATAATTGACCTCACCCTGAGCTTTACTTGCCTGATTGATACTGACCAGTGGATTTGTGAATTTTGATCTAATTTTATCCCAAGCAATGCTTTTAATTTTGTGTAATCCTATAAAAATCCAGTAAATTGTTGAGATGGTTTGTCAGCATAGAAAAATGTAGGCCATGTTATTTGTGAAATTCCTAAAATCAACTTTGACACAATACTGTTGCATTCTTTTTATCAAGGAACTGCGTTTTTGAAATACTTTTAAATATTTTAAATACTTAATTGGATAATTCAATCTGTGGTTCTCAAACTTTAGCAACCAGGACCTCCATTTTGCATTAAAAGGTCATGCACCCACCAGGCCCTCCTATACTCCTTTGCTGATATCCACCTTGTGCTTGACAGCCCCTTTATGTGTGCCCAAGAAGACATTCATGTCCCATGGAAGCCTCCATTCCTTGATGTTCTCAAAACAACCACCACCACCAGTGAGAACCTTATTAGCTCTCCTTTAAAAACAGGTTTAAGTAAAATGTTTATATTGTCTGAAAGCAAGAGAACAGGGTTGGTTCTTAGACAATAGCTGATTTTATTATAGCCACAACTCAAAAGCCCTGATAGAAGTTATGATTTTACCCCTTGATTGAAAGGGACTGTGCAGCAGGAGCAGCAAGAAACATCCTTATTGGGTAATAACTTCCCACCAGAAGAGCACAGGCGGGAAGAGGCCTGGAAGAACTTTCAGAGCTTCTCATAGAAATAGGGACCAAAGTGTGAACTTCAGGTATGCAGCTGAAAACCACAAGTGGTTGTTGTTATCTGTGGACATAGAGGAGCATGAGTTCATCTGTATGCTGAAATGCTTTGCACTGGAAAATGAGCAAAAAACAGTTGTTTTATACTGGAAGTACCATTCAGTCAGTTAGGGTTCCTAGGGCTGTTGTTGGTTCTCAGTGCCCAGTCAGCATGTTTTCTGGTTAGGGCTTTAAAACTTAATGAACACAGGCAGCAGCATCTTTTATAAATTTCTGCCCTTTGAAGGAAGGGGCAGCTGTCCTTAGCCTTACCTTGAAGAGTCCCTGTCCTCCAGTCCTAGAAAACTGAGGGGGATACATTTTCACATTGTTTAATATCTACATGCGCCCCCTTGCTCAGCTAATTCAGAGTTTTGGGCTGGGTTGTCATCAGTAGGCTGATGACATCCTGCTGTATCCGTTGGTGGCCAGCCAGACTCAGCCCAGGATATTTTGGACAGGGCACTGGAGGCCGTTACTCGTTGGTTGCATCAGAATTGGCTGAAATTAAATGCATCTTAAGGTGGAGGTCCTGTTCCTGAGCAGGGGGGGGCAGATCTGGGAGTTTGGCTCCCAGCCCTCAGTGACGCACCATTAGTGCCAGCACCAAGGGTGCGGAGTTTAGGAGTGATACTGGATGCCTCATTAACTGTGGAGGCCCAGATCACCAGTGTTGCCGAATCAGCCTTTTACCATCTCCAGCTGGTTCAGCAACTAGTTTCCTACGTCTCTCCCCAGGACTTGGCTGCAGTGATCTGTGCAGGTGTGTATTCAGCTGGTGCTATGCCAATTGCACTGACTACCAATTGAGTACCAGATCCAGTTTAAGGTATTGGTGTTAACCTTTAAAGTCCTATGCAGCCAGGGACCAACATATCTGTGGGACCGCCTCTTCCCCATATGAGCCCTGTAGAGCTTTACGCTCGGTAGAGCAACATCTACTGCAAGTCCCCGGCCCAAAAGTCATCCGCCTGGCCTCAACTAGGGCCAGGGCCAACATGCTCCCAATTGAGATCAGGGCCCTGCAGGACTTACTACAGTTCTGCAGGGCCTGTAAAATGGAACCATTCCACCGGGCGTTTGGCTAACTGGTGGGTGACCGCTCTTTCTGGCCCCTCCTGCCCAAATGGTCCTCATACTCGTTCAGTGGTATACAGGGCAGTGGTTTCCATCAATAGTAACTGGACTACTAATGTTTCTACCTGCCTGCTCTTCAGTGCAAGGAGCATGATGGATTATTATTGGCCTGCCATCTGTTTTAAAATTGGATTCTGAATTGTCTGTGGTTTTATTGTTCATAATCCTGTTGTGACCCGCCCTGGTGGAATGGAAATAAAATAATATTTTAAAATAATAAAATAAATACAAGAAGGGCCTGCACTCCATTCCTATGAAGAATCTGCAAACCACTGAAGTATCCTCACGGACCCCTGCCAGGGTCCCCAGACTACAGTTTGGGAAATGCTGCCTGAGATAATTGAAACACTTAAGTAAAAAAGGGAGATGTTGAATCCACCTCTTCTTTCTTCTTTTCTCTGTGTTGAAAAAATTGGGAAGATGAGAGCCTTTCTAAACTGTAAATATTTGAAATTACTTGTAATTTGTAAACCAAATAATGAATTGATAAAGTTTAGAACTCATTGTTTGGGTTTCAGCTTGCCAACAGTGTGTACAGTTTTTGCCTCCAAATGTCCTTTGTAGAGGGTTGCTCTAAATGTGACCTTGTCTGCTTTCAGTGCTTTTTTTTTTGGTGGATTTCTGTGTGTGTATATGTGTGTGTACACTTGCATGCCTGGAAGTCATGATGACTTCTGGCAACCCCTAGTGGGATTTGGACGTTTCAGGAGGTGGCTTGATTGCCTGCCTCTGCATCCTGAGCCCTGGTATTCCTTGGAGGTCTCCCTTCCAGTTACTTGCCAGGGTCAGCCCTGCTTAGTTTCCAAGATCTGACGAGATTGGGCTATTCAGGTCAGGGCCAGTTCTCTTTTCATGTAGCCTTCCTTCTCCAAAATTACAGAAAATAGGCTGTGCCAGCAGAAGCTGGAGGCTGCATTCAGATGTCTCAACAAACCGAGGTCTGTCCATGATGGGTGTGAACAAAGCTTGTTGCTGGGTTAATGCAGTCCTCTCCCACTTGTGGCATGATTGATGAATTCTGAGTTTGGGAAATCTTGAATCGGGTTCCAGGTTGCTTTAAGTCGGGAGACAGGCACCTGGGTGAATTGGAGGTTTTTCTCCTTTCCCTCCAGGTTTCTAAACCTTTGTTTAGAACCAGTTTAGGATTTTGTCAGTGTGAGGTGTGTGTGTGTGTTTTTCCAGGAGAGAGGAAGTGCCAGTTTGTCTTGGTGCCTGCACTGGGAAGTCATATGATTCGGAGCTTGACTCAGGCTTCCCAAACCTGAACTTCAGTGGCATTCCATCAGTGGTAAGATGGGGAGGAGCGAGGTGGCTGTGCAAGCACAGCATGAAGCTGTGTTTGTGCCAGTCACAGGCAAACCACAGCGTGGGTGCGGTCAGACGGCGTGCTGAGAGCGGGTTAAACTGCTCCAGTTCTAACTGGATTATATTTGATTTGGATAATCGCGATCTCACTTACCTCCCTTATCCCACCTCACCGCGCAGTCACGTCGCTCCCCAGCGTCTACACTACCGATACACAGAAGCGTGTGTCAGTGGGTTTTTAAAAAAATTTTCTGTTTGCACATGCACATAGGCGCTCATCCATAGAATGGGGGGGCGAAACAACCAGGGCGCATGTGCAGAACCACCAGAGCGAATCAATCCAACCCCTCCAACAAACGTTTGACCTGAAAATGGCCTCCATGAGATCCCGAACGTATCTAAACTCTAAAACAAGCAGTTGTTTAAATGTAAAACACTGTAGTGGAGCTCCGCCTATGCGCGCACCGCCGACACTAAAAAAAATGGCGGGCGAAAAGCGGAAGCCTCGGGCAGCTTCCGAGCGGGGAGGGAGTTTAAACCGGAAGTGGCTTGACACCAGAGGCGCGATCACACGGGGGAAATGAGGCTTTAAACGGGAGAGCTGAGAAAATACTACTTTGGGACCTGGTAAAAAAATACTCTGGGTTAAAGCGGTTTTGAGCCGGAAACCAACAGCTGGGGACGGGAGGCAGATGTTGACTCTGTGATCGTACATATAAAATCCATCGCTTAACTGTCACGACACCACATCAGACGGCGCGTCTGAACGCACCCGCCCGTGCATCTCCATTCCAGCTTATCCTGACTGTACATTCTAGAAGCGTGTTCCACTGACATAAGTGGGAAGTGCTTCCAAGTAACTTAATTTAACTCAAGGGTGGTAAGAGTCTGTGGTCAAAAGTTTGTGGTATCTGTTTAATCGAAATCTCCAAAGGCTGAGCGATGACTTCATCCATGTTGACTAAGGCTTAAAGGTTGGCTTTAAGTTTTAAGTCTGTCTTTAAAGGAGGGGAGGTCATGATACCACAGCAGCTAACAGGTGGGAAATCCCATCCCTCTGACACTAAAAGCAGGAAAGAAACGTGCTGGTCTTGCCCTTGCAGAGGGCATCCCAATGTCCCATCATTTCCTGCAGTTAGGCAGAGGGATGGATTAGTAAATAATGTTAATCTGTTTTTTTTATAACTGCTTTTAATTTTTCTCAGGGTTTTGTCTTCATTGAAATTGAATTGTTTTTCTCTCCAGAGCGTCAGTCTGAACTGCCGACACAGAGTAAAGCAAGTTTCCCAAGTATTCTAAGTGACCCTGATCCGGATTCTTCCAATTCTGGTTTTGACAGCTCTGTTGCCTCCCAGATCACTGAAGCTCTAGTGAGTGGACCAAAACCACCTATTGAAAGTATGCATTATTTTTCTGTAATCTTTAACCCAGTTAGAAATTAATACCCTTATAATCAGTTGTGTTTCCCCCCTCTTTCTTTATGTTAATATAGTTAGCATTAAAACTAAAAATGACTTCAGTAGCAGGGCAGGAACTATATTCCATTGTTCAGAGCACTATTAGGGTTAGTAGTTTTAGCGGAGGTCTTCCACTCTTGTCTAGAA